TCTTAGCACCGAATTAAAATCGGCATTTCCGGTCCGATTCGGCAAGGCCGGGCCCAGTATTACGGAGCTTACTCGCGGGCTGTGTGAGTGCGGCGCGTCGGTGTGCGTTGTGAGAAAAGCGTTTACGGTTGGTTTCATTGTGGGCCGGCGAGCGGACCGGACCAGACAATGTGACACCGCGGACAATGGGCGCTTATATATCTCCAAACTTGCGCTGGAAATTGTGTTGGCTCCGGCATCCCCTCCTCCCCCCTCCCCCGGCCCCCGCTCCAGGGTCCGCTACAAGCTCCGTCAAATATCGGACTGACCAACCGCGTTGCCGGGTAAAAAAGTGCGGTTTGGCTTTGAGACTTGGTGTAATTATTTCGAGACTCAAGGAGCGTTTTCGTCATAATCGTGGGATAATATCTTTGCTATCCTTGTAATATGCGTCCCTCCGTTCAAGAAAAAAGGACGATGGTCTTACTTCCGTGTAACCAAAGAGAGCGGTACATTCTAAAATGAAGTTCTGAGCATGTGGTATTGCTAGAGCGGAAACTTTTGCTGTGCGAGTCCACCACTATCCGAAAAATGGGTCAGTTGCGCTGGCCACAGAATCGTGTTTTGATGCTTGATTCTTGTAGATCAGCTGAAAATAACAACATATGTCCATACAGCAACTGTCTACGATCAATATTAACACACTGAGAAAAAAATATGGTTATAATTACCATATTAGTGGTGTTCAATATGTACTCTTAATTAGTAGTGGCCTGATACCAATACTGATATTTTTACTGGAGCAATCGTCATTTTACAAGTGTGCGGTAGTAGAATTACCATTTAATGGTAAAAATATCTCTATTATTGGGTATGGCCACTACTAATTAAGAGTGCATATTGAACACCATTAATATGGTAATTATAACCATAATTTTTTCGCGGTGCAGAGATATTGCGCTTTGAGGAATTCGGTTTAAGATGTAATCCACCCCGTTAGTGACACCATTGATTTCTTCAACCATACTTTCAAGTGTCTTGATTGCCGGGTATATAGGTATTGCTCTCTGTAACGCGCGTATTTTATTATTGTGACATATTGTGCTATTTCAGTCGAATCTATCAGTTCATTTAAATTAGGTTGTTGGAATTTCGAAAGTTTGATCGCAGCACAACAGAGCAGCTTGGAATCTAATCTACCGTCCATTGTAAAAACGCTGCAACTCCATTCAAGATTTTGCACTTTTCTTTCACACGTTCTTTTCTCTTAGGAAAATAAACCTACATCCATGCTGCTCCATTTTCTCAGTTCGAGTTCATAATAGCATTGCAAAAGTATTCAAGAATTCTTGAGGACGAACGTTCGGTAGTTTTTCTTCAGAAAGCATTGGATGAGAATGTTTTCTTTTTTTTAAAAAAAATCCAAAATCGAGAACTTTTTGCTGTGGAGGGTAGAGTTTTCCTTTCGTTACATTAAAGGCTACATGCGGTCCTTTACCAAAAACCCACCACCCAAATGAGGGGGGTGGGGGGCAAAATTGACCCTTTTTGGAACAACAGCAAATTCACCGCAATGCTTTCAGTGTGGCTCATGAGACTTACGATCAGAAGTTACAATTAGTTGCTGTCTGTCTACATTTAAAGGAGGAATGATGCAGGAAATGCACACAATGAGCACTGAGTAATTGGCCAATTAATTCTGCTCAGAAAAATATTATGTGTTGTCTTCTGCTCTAAAAAAAATTGCTTCATTAAAGCACGAGTGATGTTCGTATGTAAGTCCCGCGAGATTTGAAACTAAATTTTCTTAACGAGAGGCTGCAAGCAACAGATAAATTGGCCCCTGTCATTCTTGAAATACCGAACGAAAAGATGAAGACAAGTTCGAAAGCGTTGGGCTTATAATACGGAGCAACCGAGACTGTTGCTAAGTTTCGAAGAATCGGTTGAATTAACGATTGAACTTTCAGCGACTTGTTGGAAATTTTGCTGCCGTTTTACGTACAAATTTCGAGGAAGTTTGAAACACCAATGCGTGTTGACGTAGGATTACATGTCAATGAATTTAATATTTATATAATTCATGAAATTATTCTCTGTACAAACGTTGGTGATTTTTCCAACGTGCGTTAAAGTCATTGTGCGATTGAAATTCTCATTTTAAAATGAAATACTTATTCGAGCATGCTTTCTCTTAGAGCGAAAGTGCTGCTCGGTGTAACATTTGTTACGATTTACCACTTTATTACTAAACAATGACTTTGAAA